TATCCATCCCCACCAGAATATTTAAAAGAAAATCCCAGACATGCCCTTTTCCCAAAAAATATTTCAGTATTGAACTGCTTTTTACATTTTCCATAATTTAAAATTATGCACATATATACACATGTACACAAAAGTGGGATCCTACTGTATATGCCATTTGTGTATCATTTTATTTACATTATAAAAGTAATAAAATCATATTACAGAAAATAAAAAGGGAAAATTACCCATAATCCTTTACCACCTAATATAAAAACAACATTTTCATATATTTCCTTCTCACTTTTTTCAATTTGCATACATACTTTTAACACAAGTGGGAGTGTATAGATTATCCACTTTCCAAATTATGAATCTATTTTAATTGTAAGAAAATAATAGTCATATTGCAGAAAAAGAAAAAATAGCACCATAATCACACTACTCAATTATAATCACTGTTGTCATTTTGGTGTACTTACTTCCAATATTTCTCCTATGCACATACAATTTTCATGAAAGTGGGAGCATACTGTTTATGCACTTCATTAACTATAAACTTATATTTAATTATAAAAATAATATTGTATGACACGGAGAAAGGGAGAGAAAAAATCACTCATAATCCCACCACTCCACTGACACTGTTGCTAGTTTGGTGTTTTCCTGACCATCACCTCATTACCCATATTCATAGATGGCTAGAAACATACTACTTAATATTCTACTCTGTGCCCTTTGCAGCTTTGCATCATGTTTATGCAACTTTGTACCCAGAGATTATTTTTAATTTTATTTTAATTTTGTACCATTTAATTTTTTATTGATTTTAGAGAGAGGAAGGAGGAGAGAGAGAGAGAGAGGTAGACTTTGTTGTTCCACTTATTTATGCATTCATTAGTTGACTCTTGTTTGTCTTGTATGTGCCCTGACCAGGGTTGAACCCACAACTTAGCATATGGGGACTATGCTCTAACCAACTGAGCTACCCTACTAAGGCCAGAGCTTTTTTATTTAATATTTTGTAGTGAACATTTTCTCATAAATGAGTTTTGGAAGTCAGTAATTTTTTTGTGTTTTGTTTTGTTTTGAAGTTTCAAGGTCCCAAGGGACACTTCCTTACCATGGACATTTAGAAATGCTTTCTATTTTTCACTATTATAAACAATTCTGCTCCAAACATTCTTGAACAAAGACTTCTGTTTTTTAACTTTTCCACACGCATATTGAATATATGTTTCTGGAGATTATTCTGGCTGTTTCCAGCTGTTGGGGAAAAGGTGATCATCTTGTAATGGTCCCTAATTTTCTCCTCTTATGTGGCTCAGTCTGTTTTTAGACTCCTCTCAGTCTGTGTTTTTAATTAATTAGTCAGCAAATATTATTGAACCTGAAGTGTGTGAGCTGAGGCAGGGCTAAGAGGCAAAAAGAAAAAGAATCAAAAGGCACAATAACAGCACTTTTTGACCACTTACTACAGTAGGCATCAACCTGGCTAAGCTTTTCCTTTAATCCTTTCAACAACTCCACCATCCCATTTAGCAGGTGAGAAAACTAAGGCCCTAAGGATGAAGACACGCAGCCTAAGATCACACAGATAGGAAATACATAGTAGAGATTTAAACCCAGACAGGCTGACTCCCTAAACTGTACAGTAGATATAACAAGAAGTCACCAGTGAGAAGACAGCCTAAATGCTTTCTTACCCTCCCAGGCAGCGAAGTGCAGGGGTGAGAGTAAGGATTTTGCAGTCAGCTTGACCTGGATTCAAATACCCGCTTCCTGGCTGTGTGAACTTGGACAAATCTCTGGGACTCCATTTCAAAACCCTGCCTCACAGGTGGGAATTAAATGAGATAATGGATGGGAACATGCCAGGCCCAGTGCTGGTGTACAGAAGGTTCTTGCCAGGTGACCATCCCATCTTCTACTTGCTACTCGAGCTGAAAGTCTAGTTGCCAAGTTGGAGAGAAGAGTTCAGCGGAGAGTTCTGAGCTGAGCTGGAGCCCACTGGGAAGTCGGAGATCGGGGTTTATTTGCAGAGAAATGCAAATGTCTCCTTTGCTCTCTCCCTGCCTGGGCAACTAACCTCCTCTCCCATCTGCACCCCCCGCCCAGAAGAAAGGGTTGGTTTTTGCGCTCCAGAGCTGAGCGCTTGAAGCCCCTCTTTCCTGCTCTCTGGGAGGTGGACAGTAGAGATAAAGGAAGTCACCAGTGGGAAGAACCTTTCTGGCATGTGGGCACAGAAATGGGGCGGAGGGCACTCTTTTTTCTGCCCTTCAATGGTCTGGATGGGGGAGGGGATGGCTGTTGAGCAACTGCTCGGGAGACACTCTAGAAGCAGAGACTAACATTTGCCTCTTTCTAACAATTGGACTGGGAGCCATCTAATATATGGAAGATGGATTTACCACCTCACGGATCCGGAGCCTGCGACAAAGCCGCTGCTGTGGTTTCTAGATCTGCTCCCCACTGGGGCTGAGGGGGAAGATAGGTCAGAAGTCCAAATTAGCCAAGCACAATTTGAAAACCTCGTGTCTCTCGCCTCAGGCAAACCCAGAGATGGCTTGAGGGTGTATTTTACAGTCAAAACTCTGTAGGGTTTTATGGTCCCAACAGATACCACCTTTTATCAGAGGGAAACTGGATACAATTCAGGATCTTTGGGTAAAGTGAGAAACTGCAGCAATGGTGTGGTTGTTACTGAGATTTGTGTTGGGACTGGGTGAGGCTAAGGAAAGGAGACACGCAAAGCAGCTTTGGGGGCTGGGAAATGGGTTTACCTGGTGCCCAGAGAATTCGCCCCACCTTCCTCCAGGTATCAAGAAAGGGCCTTGACCTGTCCCTCTATTTTGCTGCCCATTTTTGTGTCAGTAAGCCAGTCAGTCCATCAGCAAACAGAACTTTGTTCCAAGAGCAAATGCAAGGCACTTGGGGATGAAAGAAGGAAAAGAAAGGGGGCGGGCGGAGAAAAAGACCTTTAGATCTTCAAATCCAATTAAGAAGATAGAACACATACATAGTGAATGTGCCATGGTGACATTCCCCGCCCCCTCCCCCCCCACACACACACTTTTGTTAACATTTGGGACTTTTAAAAAGAGGATATTTTATAAACAGTGTAAACTGAGTAGTTGTTGCTGAAAGAGGTTTAAAAAAAGGGTGTAGTAGAGGGGTAATCCCGGTGGCCTTCTTGTATAATGTGAGAAGCTTCTTGGCTACAGGGAACACGAACTGAGATGGAGAAGGCTGGACCTCTTTCCAATAGATTTTTAAAATAACATCCCAATCTGAGAAACATGTGCTCCGAATGCAAAGTATTATTCTTGCTAGATGGGAATGATTGTATAATCATAATAAAATAACCTGGCATCATGGGAAGGCAGGAGGAATCCCCGGCAGCCCAGGGGCAAGCTCTTCGTTCCCTGCTTCCCCTTCCTGGCCTTTGGCATGCCTCTTGAGCTGCACCTCATCCAGGAAGGCAGTATATTTCTGCGTAGCATCCCACCAGCCTCCGTCCCCTCTGGATAACCACAAAAGAGAATACTTGGCTCAGGCCTGTGAGGGAAGCCACTGCTGCCTGCAGATAGGCCCTCAATTTGGCTCTGCCTGGATCTGGCGACTTTAAGGGGGAAAAGGACCCCAGCTTTGTCCCTTCAACAAGGGAAATGGTTCAGCCCAAAGGGACAGACAAGCTCCGAGGAAGCCTGCAGAGAACCCAAATCATGCCTCCCGCTCCCCAGGACCGTCCCTTGTGCGCCCCCTACTCAGGGTCACTGCCTGAGTCCATAGCTCTCCTCCTGAAGCCCTCTCAGCCCACCCGCTAGATTTAGGTCAGAAAACAGACACTAACAGCTCTCCTTTGCCTTAGCAAAATTAAGTGGAATTTATTGGGCAAGTCCATGCAGGGCGGTGGGGAGAGACGATGTCCCGGGCCCGGGCCCCCGCAAGCTTCAGAAGCACCCGCGTAGGCCGAGGACTCAGGGCTCGGGGTGACCGTGCCCTGGGTCCGCCAGCCCCACCCCGGATCCTTGGTGACTGCACCAGCTCGAGTGCCTTTAAAGGGCCACACACGCTAGCCGCCGCTATAAAATGTTACCAGCGGCACAGCTGCAGAAGGGAAACGGCTGAGCCGCCCCAGACGCTGCTCACTCCACCGGGCAGGCTGCTCACTGCGCCCGGTAGCCCGCCCGCAGCCCACAGGCTAAGGAGTCGTCCCTGGCGAGGAGGAAGAGGCTTAAGGAAGGCACAGTACCAGCTCTGGCCCTGAGTGAGTATCCAGTTCAGATTTTGCCACCAACTGGCCCACGAGCCAGTACATGTGCTAATAATGCCCTAAGCCGGTTATAAAGACATGGAAATTGAGGGGGAGGGATAAAAAGGGGGGAAAAGGTCTGTCTTTCCTGGGATTTCTAGTCCAGGCCAACCTTCTGCCGTGTGCGTGTGCGTCAGGGCTCTCGGGGCGGCAATGGGGGCTTGAGAGCCGGTCACCGGCGCCAAGAACGGAGCACGGTAAGTTAGCCCTGTCTGGCATGATTCAGTGGTTAGAGTGTCAGCCTCGGCACTGAAGGGACATGGGTTTGTTTCTTGGTCAAGGGAAGTATCTGAGTTGCAGGTTCGATTCCTGGCCTCATCCCTGGCCCCAGGTGTGTCCCTCTCAGGTCAGGTCCAGGTCAGGGCACATGCAGGAGGCAACCAATCAATGTGCCTCTCTCACATCAATGTTTCTTTCTCTTTTCTCCTCCATCACTCCTTTCCACTATCTCTAAAAATCAATGGAAAAAATATCATCTGGTGAAGATTAACAAAAAATAAAAAAAAAAAAAATTATGCC